TATCATTATTGCTACTGTAACATTGTATCAAATTACCATACAATTACCACTATAAGAAAGTACTGTACAATACATACACCAAGTCTTGAAATGCACACCATCTTGTTGGGATTCAATAGACATAATTAATGTTGAAATATTGAATCCAAACACAGTGGCATGCATTTCAATATTTAGAGCACAAGTGGGCGAAATGTGGCCCGCGAGCCGCATGCAGCCTGACAGAGATTTTTTGCGGCCCACAAAAATAAATTAAAAACCCTATGTGTGCGGCCCGCCAAGCAACAATGGCTTGAAAACACCTTGTTTTTTATGACCCGACACCGATCATATGTAAAAAATAACATTAAAACTGAGAATAAAGTGATGTAAATGTAGTGCTTGGAGGTTTTTGGAAGCTCACTGGAAACATCAAAGTGTGTGTGCCCTCAGTGTTAATTCAAAAATTCATTTTGCCCCTTCGACAAATTTTTATGCCCACCCCGGACTTAGAGTATGTATTATACTTTTTTATCTGAGATTTATACAGTGGACTTTCTGGTTTTTGGAAAACGCTCTGTATTCCCACCATGTTTTCAATAATTTAGTACCAGTGGTGGATACAGAAATTTATATTAGATCACCTCAGCAAAAAATGTATGATTACCCCCCCCCCTTCCTTGAATCTGCCACCAGATGCCTTGATAATGAGAAAGATTTTATTTATTTGTTCAGATATTGTCATTTGTTTTTGTCATTCCCTGGCTCCATCACTGATTAATCCATGTAGTTTACTTCCATAATTATGATTTTGTGTGAATATTTATAGTTTTATATTTATTATAATTTGTACAAAATATTATTTATTTTTATGTTGAATATTTCAGAATATGAAAAGGTTGAGTGATGAATACTGTACACCACCACCTACAGTACTTTACCTTGCAGCAGGTAAGGAAATGATTTTCAACTTGTAAACTACTATTAGGCCTAAAAAAGTTATGTTGGCGTAACCCGAGCAACCCTATAAAATCAGCCGACCCTAAACATTTTTATTTCATTTTCATGATACAAGTTTACGTTAGCAAAGTAGGCGTGGTCGGGCATCACTCAAAATGTTTCAAAAGTGGTCCTAGGGTGAAAAATATGACAATTAGGGGCTTTAAAGGCTTCTTTTAGATTTCAATAATTAATTTAACTGCTTCGTCAAATATACATTTTGTGGCTAGAAAAATCAAATTGTACATTAAAACAAAAAGAAAAAATTTCCTCTGGACCCTGGCTTTAAAAAAAAATGAAAACAGAATGAATTTTCTGGCCTTCATGTCATTTTTGAGAGTTAAGCCTGTAGTATATTTATAATCTGTTATAAACTTTCTTCACATTAGTTACATTTAATATAATAATAATAGTATAGGTCATAATGAGAATGTTGAGAATAGTGGTGATAATTTTAATAATCTGTTACTATTTTAATATAATTTTTTTTTAAATATTGAAACTTTGACTAGCATATTAAAAAAAAAGTTGTATATGTTCTACAGGGAAGTTTGGACTAGGAAAGTGTAAATGACTATATAACAATAATACATTGTAGTCCATAGAGTAAGTTTATAACTAGTTTAAATTATAATTGTTTATAGTTGTTGTTCTTTATATTTTCTAGGAAAACACTTGCCAAGCACAGATGTATAGTGGGTTGTCAAGACTACTAGTAGCATTCAGTAGGAGCTTGTAAGCGTGAAGCAGATAAATGATTGGCAGACTGATTTGTGGGAAGCATGCTATGTATAAATAAAGCAGATGAACTGTGGCAAACCAAGGCGTTTTACAGAAGGTTTCAGCCTAAAAACAAACTGTGGGAAAGCAAGACTAGTGTGTTTGAACCCTGTTATACTGGTATTTGAAGCAACACTTAGCAAAATCAGATTTTTGAAACGAAGAAAGTGTACAGTACTATGAAAAGTCATATTTTAGATATAGAATTGTGGGAAATAAAGACTGATTTGTTTGAATTACAGTACATACACTGTACCTGCAGCTTAGCGAACTCTATTATGTGGAGATAAAGCAGATGGATTGTGGAACGTCTACATTGCAACAGACATTTATTGTGCATTCATAAAACAGATGGTCAGAAATATCAAGTAACTTAGTATGGTCCGATTCTGGACTTGGTATATAATGTTGGTCCGATTCTGGACTAGTTTGTAATGTATTGTTGGTTCTCTTTTGGACTTAGTTTATACTGTATTATGTTGGTCCTCTTATGGACTTAATAGTGTAAAAATGTTGTCATATTATGGACTTGGCTTATAATGTAATTTAGGCCAATTCTGGACTTCAGTTTATGATTTTGGTCCCATTCTGGCTTTAGTTTATAATGTTGGTCCTATTCTGGACCTAGTGTAAAACATTTGTCCAATTCTGGACTTAGTTTATAATTTTGGTCCTCTTCTGGACTTCGTTAATATAGTTTAAAATGTTCGTCCTATTTTGGACCTACAGCAGTGTAAAATATTTGTCCATTTCTGGACATAGCTTATCATGTTGGTCCTCTTTGGACTTAGCTTTTAATTTTGGTCCTCTTTGGACTTAGCTTTTAATGTTGGTCCTCTTTGGACTTAGCTTTTAATTTTGGCCCTCTTTGGACTTAGCTTTTAATTTTGGCCCTCTTTGGACTTAGTTTAATGTTGGCCCTCTTTGGACTTGGTATATAATATTGGTCCTATTCTAGACTTAGCTAAAAATCACACAATGTTGAATAAAACTGACTGCAACACCATTTTCATTGTACTACAACTCATTTGTAGCGTACTGTATTTGCTAAACCACATACATTCCAACAAATCCTAACGAAACTTTTTTTGAAAATTTCGTCAGCGTTTAGCGCAAAAAGACAGTTGGGATTATCCAAGCGGTAGTGATCGCCTATAATAGGTGATCGCCTACGTGGAACCTACGCGCCACCCACCACCCTTGGCCCCGCTGAAAGATATATATCCTCTCCAGAAGTTAATCTTGACTTGGTGTCATATCAGCATTTTCTTGGTTTCTGCAGTTTCAAGTGACTGTCTAATGAATATTCATTATTTCTCTGCCTAGTAATAAAGACAACTGGTCTGCTGATATATGCAAATAATTGAATTGCAACCAAACCTGTAATGAAAAGAAAAATGATATTAGATTTAATCATCAAATATTAAGGTTTTTAATAATGTAATTTATTTTAATTTAATTTCTAAATAACATATATTCATTTATTAAATAAAATGTACATGTATAATAAATTTATATAAATTCAACACCAACATCCGGTGTATAAAACCTGACTATAATACATCCAAAGACACATCCAAAGCCAATGTGCAGGCCTTTCTTGGAGAGTGCACGAGACTTTCCTGTCGGTGTTTTACACATTGAAACATTGCAAACTCAGATGTGGGACTGTAAATGTTTTGATAGCTTATGGTGATATATTGAACGAAAGAAGTAAAGTACGAGAATTGAGAAGGTTACACTGTAGACTAGAAAATAAACATTAACATAGTGAATCCTGCACAGTGGAGAACTGAACTGTATAATTCAATATTACGTTTTAAAGTCAACGTAAAATAGGCGGATGCTCTCAGTAAAGTATTAGTTTTCATGCAAAAGTAAATGCCACATTAATTTTATAATTTTACAATAAAATATGATAAGATACCACTTACCATCAACTAGTATTCTGTGTTGTGTTTTACTGTATATACTCATTATGAAGCTGAACACCACTGCTTCTTAATATGTCAATGTGCCTGCTACAGTAAAACAGTAAAAAATTATTATATATATGTTATATTTATTTATATAGTGTATTTTTAGATTTCTATTCAATGCGCTTTAATACATAAATTGATGATAAAATATAAAATAGGCAACATTATACAATGAAATTACAAAAATATTACATAGAAAAACTACAAAAATATACTTATTATTAATTACTAAAATAATGAAAATTTGGAAATTCAGTCAAAATAAATATTATTAATTAAAACTATAATATACAATAATTCCAAATTATTACAATACAATGCAGATCAATTAAAAATTTAAATTCTCTATCTACAATATGGAAAAGACAATCAATTACTGTGAATGGAAAGATATAAAAATATAATTATTACAATTAACATCATGGTAATAATTAACATCATGGTAATAATTAACATCATGGTAATAATTAACATCATGGTAATTAATTAAAAATTTAAAGTTTGTCATCATTATTTACTGCATACACCAGACCAGGTTTTGTATGCCCTTGAGATCCAAACAATTTGACTTCAGAAATTAGTTCAGTGGTTGAAGAATCATTTTTCGAAAAGTGGTGAGAGATCAGGGCTTAAAGGTCATTGTCATAGGGTCCTTATATCTCTGCAACCAATGGTGGTAGACTAAGAGAGTTAAGTCCGGTGTCAATTTGGAACATTCATGTTTGCTAAAAAAGTTTGCTAAAAAATTACCGGAAATGCGGTTTTTGACCTTTGACACATTTCAAAGCTTACGCCTATCTACATACTGACTCAGGGCAATGGCTGTAGACTTGATAGTAATCTCAAATTATTAATTTACACACGTTTTTGTTCATTTCATTATTCCAATTGTAAAATAAAATTATACCAAAAATGCTGATCGAGAAGGTTTACTAGAAAATAAACATTATAATTATAATTTACAATAAAAATTATTATATACCACTTACCAGCAACTAGTATTCCATGTTGTGTAGTACAGTATACTTTGTCAATTTTTATAAAAACTCATCCTGAAGCTGAACACCACTACTTCTTAATATGTCACTCATGTCAATCTGCCTGCTACCAGCATGCCGCTCTATAAAATAAACAGGAAAAAGCCAAAATAATAATAATATTTCTTTATATAGCGCATTTTCAGATTTCTGTTCAATGCGCTTTACATAAAATGATGATGAAATACAATATAAAATAGTTAACATTATATCATGAACTTACAAAAATATTATATAGAAATACAGGTACAGTACTACAAATATATACTTATTATTAATTGCATTATTAAAATAATAAAAATTTGAAAATTCAGTCAAAAATAAATACTTTGAATTACAGTGCATCCTCCAATTCGAGACCCCTCTAATTCCGAGACCCCTCTAATTCGAGACCACTTTTCTAAAGACCCAAATAACAATAGTCAACTTTTTAAAACAAAGATAGCCCTCTAATTGGAGACCAACCCTGAGACTACCCCAAATTTTCAGGTCCCAAAGGTGGTCTTGATTTGGAGGGCGAACTGTACCTAACAAACTATAATGTACAATAATTCCAAATTATTACAATACAATACAGATCAATTCAAAATTTAAATTCAAAATCTACAATATGGAAAAGACTGTAAATAGAAGGATATACAAATATAATTACTGTATTAATACAATTAACATCATTGAAATTAATTGATAATTGAAAGTATGTCATCACTGTATACACCAGACCAGGCCTTTCAATGTTTTCAATGTCATAGCAATTCCAATTCAATATACATTTATTCAATCAATGAATCATAACATAAATCATTAAATTAAATAATAAAATTCTATTAATAAGGAACAAGATAAAGAAGCTGTTTGGCTTGTCTTAATTGACCCTTTTTTATAAAATAACAAAAAACACACTCATTATACTGGTACCATACGCACATACACACACAGCCACCTCCCCCCCCCCAACCCACACCCACCCACATGCACAAAAAGAGTACTTGCAGCATAATTGGCAATATGAATCTCTGCAACCACTGGTGGTAGAGAGTTAATTCTGGTGTCAAATTTGTTTGGAATATTCATGTTTCTATTTGGTCTAATAGAAAAGTTTGCTAAAAAATTTCCGGAAATGCGGTTTCTGACCTTTGACACATTTCAAGGCTTATGACTAACTCTGGACGTACTGACTGTAGAGACTTGATATTGATTTCAAATTATTAAATTAAACACGTTTCTGTTCATTTCATTAGACCAATTGTTAAATAAAATTAT